AAAGACTAAAGCCATCAATACGCTGCGTTCAATTATAGAGAAAAATAGCACAGATACTGCGGGTGTTGAGTAAATAAAATGATCGCTGTATTGACGGCACGTTTTTTTTTGCAATCCTTGTGCGCGCGCTGAATTGCATAAGCAAAAGCGCGAGCGAAACTGTTCGGCCACCTTAAACTAGTACCTGCTTGTTCTGTCTTCATCACGTCAATGATAAACAAAGCTATGGTTGTGGCTATTTCTATGCGACCGCGTAAGACCTTTATGTAGTATAATATGTGTGTGTCGTATATGTTTTGTTGTTGCTGTTCGCATTTTTTTTGATTTGTTTATAAATTTCCAAAACGTATAATTACTTAAATAACTTACAATTCAGAACTCTGCTTTCTACAATTTTCTTCTTTCTCTACAGTACTCTACTTTCACTGCAATACTATAATTAGTTTCAGAATAATTACTCACTCTACAAAAATACGCTACGATACAACCGTTGTTGTTGTTGTTATTGTTGTTGTTGTTGTTGTTGTTCTTCTTCTTCTTCTACTTCTTCTTCTTCTTCTTCTTCTTCTTCTTCTTCTTCTTCTTCTTCTTCTTCCGCCATTCTTTGTTTCATCTGGGAAATGACTTCCCCGACAGCCATCAACCTTTGATCGTAATCATTAAGCGTAAGACGCAAACAAACCACAGACAACACTATGCCTGGGTTTAGTGATATAAACCATCGTTTTTTTTGAGGAATTTTTGGACATGCACTCAGAAAAATCGAACGTACTCAAAAATGAGCCGCAAAGACACCTTTGATAAGTGAATAAAGATGGTGAATTTTAAGACACTTAAAGAAACCTCTGTCTTTGAGTATCAGAATAAACAGGAAATTCCTTAGAGTCTTGTATCACTTTCCGCAATTTGTCATTGATGTATTTGGGTACACGTTTTTCTATTCAAAGGGTAGTACGAGTGGTTTCAAAGGAATCTCATATCACAAAATAATAGCTCATATCTCACAATAAGATCTTGGAACGAAGATAATTTTGCGAGTACTTTTTTCGTGCTGGAGGTTGCCGAGAGCAATATTCAGAGACGAGTGTTGGACACTGTGCAGCAGTAAACAACAAAAAAAATAACCAAATTATTAATAAAACGCAAGGAGGTACTTTTAGTATATTAACCCGAGATCTTGACACCACGGACCGAGCGCAGCAATATCAGTGCAAATTAAAATAGACCAAGGTCTGAAATTATCCCAGCACTGTCCTCAGATAGTTCAGTTTATAAGAGGTGTATTGTTAGTCTCCTTCGCAGGCACTCGTACCGAAGTCTCAACCCTCCCCGTCCCCCGCGTCTACCATATTTACTTACCGCTGTAATCTGTGCCTAGTTGTTGTATAAGCTGCATCAAATACAGCGTAGCTTCCCGTCTTGATGTTTTCTTTCTCAAGAAAACCCTGACCAGCCATCGATTGGCAGACATTTTGGCACGAACCTCGGCAAGGAAATGAAATCAAGCCAGTGATTGGTGTATTTTAAGAAAGGATTTTCTGTCGGTATTACGCGGACACGTGGGGCCGAGTTCGGCCCAAGCGGCTGCAAAGGGGATAGAGGATATTAGTTACAGGGTGGCAAGAAGATTGGATTTAACAAATTTACGTCAGGTTTTAATGCGTCTGTCCTCTTATAGATGGTAAATTGCGTCATAACATTGTCAAAGTTGTTCCTCATTAAACCTTGACAATTTTATCACGAAACGTTAGGGTTTTTGTTACTGATCTGTTGTTTTCTGTACTAAATTTTCGGTGGCTTCTTTCTACCTTCATCAGAGTTGCAATGTTAAGGTTAGTTAAAACCTTAAAGAAGCAGTACTGGAAGCAGTATCTACAAAATATCTGTCTTTGTCACAGTTAGTAAACTAAAATGCGAGATCTCTGTAATAATAGGAAAAAACTATTTTTTTAATTCTTGAAGAGACACTTGCAAGCAAAGTCCATAATCTTCCTCTAAGGGAAAATCTTCAAATGAAATGTTCAGCGCTTTGCCTTGTGGGATAGGAATGGAATACATACAGTGCAAATCACTTGGGTAATTGTTTGGATATCCGGGACTTTTCAACGAGTTGTTTACCACAGAACCACATCCTGTCGGAGAAAAATATGTATTTGTTTAACAAAGTGAAATGTTAAAAAAAGTGTTATAAATGTTCAACGTTTATAGTGGTCAGTGCGCTTAGCGACACCTTGATAGTTTTCAGGCATGCCACTTAAACTGAAAGAAACAAATAGCAAATAAACACAATATCTTTGTCACCATTTGCAATTTGCCTTGCAGTAAACTCCACTATTTCATGTGTTGGCCTTTACTC